AGCCACTTGCATGCTGGGATAGCTACCACAATGCCCTGTTCTCTTTGGCTGTTGCAAGAGCTGCTAATGTGGTCCTGTTAGGGCATTCTCCGCCGGCAGTGTGGACAGAGTACAGGGCTTTCGCTACTGCACTCTACGAAGGCTGGTTTAACTCAAAGCGCTCTACATTTGCAAGTGTAGCCATGCCCATAGGTTCCTCCCTTCCCTGCCACAAAGGGAGATCCCAGCCTTCCCATGGCACAACCAAAGGAACATCCTTATTTAGGGCTTGTCTCCATGGGACATTATGCTGGTTGTTAGATCCCATTGTAACTCGTCTGTGAGGTAAGGGGTGAATGTGAATGGGGACATTCTTGTTCAGACATGGGGACCTTTCTCCAGTTTAGCTGATGTGACTTTGGAAGAGGGTTAAGTAAATAAATCCACAAAACAAGGCTCTTGCTGGCTTTAGCTTTCAAGAGATGGTTTGCCGCCAAGCTGGAGTTTTGCGGGGGGTATTTCCCAACCCACCTGCCGGGCTATTTGGGCTTCAGATGAATCTCCCTGAAACAGCACATGGGGGTTCAGTTCACAGTAGGTCACCCTCTCTTTCCTCCAGGCCGACTCAGAGGTGAGTTGGGTGCCTGCCTGGCCAGGCCCATCCACTCTCTTCAGCAATTCCTGGGCTACATGCATCAGCGTCACTTAACAATCTTGTTTCGGGCCTGGTGAAGATCAGAGGAAATTGTACTTCAAACTGGGGGATTCTGAGGTCTCCTCTAGTGCCGTCCCTTATTAAGAAGTTGCCTGTAGCGACATTGTTTCCTCGCAGAGTATTTGCTGCCTGTTCATTCCTGTTTGGGATTCCCCCGGAGGTTCTCCTCTTCCTCCCCATCCACCAGGAGGCTTCCTCCCACTTCGCTTCTCCTGCCTGTGTCACTGGGAAGTGAATTTGCCCTTCACAGGCCAAGTGAAGCAGCACTGAGGTAGTCTCGACCTGATTCTGCCTCCACCCTGTCAATCGGGAGCAATGGCAGCGAAACCAGCGGAATTACAGTGGATGCTGGGGGCTTCAGTGTTTGTCCCTTCAGTGACCTCAGATCACATATGCTCAGGGTACAAGTCAAAAATGCCCGCACCACAAGGCCTAGCTGGCGTCTGAACTCCAGACGGGTCGTCACCAGCTCAAACGTCATCGCCATTTGGAAGGATTTTGCATTTGGAATTGAGCTGACAGTTTTGCTGATGATAAACAGGCAACATCGGTCTCTGCTGTAGCAGTGCTGGTGCTTCAGCTAATGGAAGTCTGAGCTGGTGAAGTTCACCCAGTCAAGTCAGCCTGTTGTCCAAACATACCCTATACTTGGGCTCGGCTTAACTGACAGTACAAATAACAAGGCCTCGGCCTAAGCTTTCTCCCCTACCTTGACTGTCCCCTACAGAATTTCTTTTGGCCCAGTCCCTACAGTCCCCACTTCTCTAATATCTGGTGAGTGAATAAGCTGACGCTGGGGTCCTAGCACCTGCTATCAGGGGGGATCATGAGATGAATTCTGCTGCTCTCTTGCAGTCAGTAATGTACGCACCTCGGACTCTAGACATAGAGGGTCTGATTCTCCTCTCGCCTCCCCCACTGTAAATCAGCACTAAAGTCAACAGGTCACATCAGAGTCATGCCCAGCGGGACCTAAGAAGGTGCCATTTTCTTACAGCCACCTGTGTCAATGTAACTGTATTTCAGTAGGTTTAGTGTTAAACTGCCCCGTACACCAGTGTTTGCCGGGTGCTTTGCCCTTCCTCTGAAGCCCCTGTCATTGGCCAATAGCGGAGATGGGATATTGGGCTAGGAGAACTATTGAAGCAGACCCCCTGTTTCTAACAGGCTCCACGACACTCTAGTATTCCCAGCATTAGTGCTGGAGGGAAGAGTTTCTTTTCCAGGACAAGTGAATAATCCATTTCCCCCCCGAACTAACACAGGTCATCCCAGACTGGAAGGAACAGGAGTGGAATGCCGAAAAACCAGAGAACTATGCCGGGATTTTCCACTTCCAGTTCTGGCGATTCGGCGACTGGGTGGACGTGGTGATAGACGACCGCCTGCCGACGCTTCACAACCAGCTTATCTACTGCCACTCCAACGCCAAGAACGAGTTCTGGTGCGCGCTGGTGGAGAAGGCCTATGCCAAGTAGGTATACGAGCAGGAGCCACTGAGGCTGAACTGTAGCCCTGCCTGGTGCTCTGTGTATTTAGCTCTATGGGAAGCAGTGTGGCCTAGTGGACCGAGCACTGGCCTGGGACTTAGAAGCCCTAGGTTTGAGTCCTGGCTCTGCCACAGGCCTGCTGGTTGACTTCAGGCAAGTCCTTCTCTGTGCCTGTTTGTCCCATCAGTATAATGGGAATGATAATACTGACGTGCTTTGAGAGCTGCAGATGACAAATGCCATATAAATAGGGTTGCCAACTTTCTAATTTCTGAAAACCAAACTGCCCTGCCCCGCCTCTTCCCCTGAGGTCCGCCCCTGCCCCGCCTCTTCCCCTGAGGCCCCATCCACTGCCCCGCCTCTTCCCCCAAGACCCTGCCCCTGCTGTCTCCTCCCTCCACCCCCCGCATCACTCGCTGCTCTCTCCCCTCCTGCTCTCTTGTCACTAGATCCTCTCCACCTCCCTCCCTCCTGCTTCGTCCCCCAGCTGGGCTCCCCCTGCTCCCGGGCTGGGACAGGAGCTGCAGCCAGATGGGGAGCCTGCAGCCTGCCTGCCCACGAGATGCAGGTAGGAGGCAGCCCCGGCTGAGCAGGGGCTGGCATGGGTTGATGACCCAATGCCTCCCCTGCAGCCCGCAGTAACCACACTTTTGGTGTCCAGTCAGTATATCTGTCACTGCCAGGTCCCCTTTTGACCGGCCTTTCCAGTCAAAAACCGGACACCTGACAACCCTATGTATAAAAGCTAGGTATGATTATTACTGATCATGGGTCCTTACTTTGTAAAGTTTTGTATCTATCCCTGGCAAAGGGAGGCACTGGCAAACCTTCTCCTTACAGGTGGAGGATGAGTGTCATCTTCCCTGGAGTGGGTGAGCTTGCTAAAAGTTTGGAACTATTTTAATGGACATTTAGTGGAACTTAGTGGAGTCCCTCTGAATTTCAGAAAGGGGTGGGGAGCATTTTGCAGTCAA